ATAATGATTACCCTTCTATTTAAACAGTGTATTTCACTTGCACTTATTTTGACATTCTACAGCATATGGAGTTGATATATTGAACACCATCGGCTACATATACGTAAGGCAGGCAGCTAAAGAGCTTGGGAAGAAAGCAATGTATTTGGGCGTGCCTTTTGTTGCTGAATGGTTCAGAAACAAAGGACACACAATTAAATCACAAGTTACTGCTGCAACAGGTAACAGCTTACTGAGTTCATAATGCATGTTCCTAATTGTTTCATATGCATTTAGTTGTCCATCCGCATCAATATATGTCTCATTTCTGTCATATCTTGGGTTTATGTATGCATTGTTATATTATGAACATGTCTTAGCTGTCCCCAAAAGCTAGCATGTAAATTTTTTCATCCTTTGTGGTTCTTTTAGGTGCACTTGCCTTGATGCAGCTTCAAGAGGACATGAAGAAGCAACTCAGTTCAGAAGGCAATTATACGGAGGAAGAGCTTGAAGAGTACATGCAGTCTCACAAGAAAGTGATGATTGATTCCTTGTGGAAGCTTAATGTTGCTGATATTGAGGCTACCCTCTCCCGTGTCTGTCAGATGGTCTGTCTTATACTCCACAACAAAATTTTATCATTTGTGTTTTTGGAGTTCATTTCCTTTGTCATAAAGTGTTAATCATGTGACCACATTTGCCACTATGATTCCAGGTGCTTCAGGATAATACAGTGAAGAAGGAAGAGCTCCGTGCTCGAGCCAAAGGGTTGAAAACTCTGGGAAAAATATTTCAGGTTGTTTTCAATATTTAATGCCTTCTATTTCTGGGTTGTTTTGCAAATTTTGTGCTCGCATAATAACTTGGAGCAATTGATAAATATAATTCAGAGTGTCAAGTCCAGCGGAGGTGACGCTGAAGTACCTTTGACTGGTGATGTTCAAAAGTTAAATGGAAATGACCAACGCAAAGATGGCAGCTCTCCTGACGTCTCACCTAAATCCCCCATTGAACAGGTTTCTCAAACATCCCTTCCTCCCCAGGTAACTAACTGCTTGTTGACAATTTCATAATCATTCATTTAGTAACATACATTTTCTTCATAAAAAAATTCCACTAAACTGAGTTCGAGGTTTGAGGACTTTGAGCATTTTCAGTTTTTTGTGCTTGTAATTCTTTTAACTTTGTGTTGACTTTGGTCAGCGGGGGAAAAAAACCCTAAACAGGGTCCCCAGCAGAAAATCATATAGGAAGCAAGGAGATTTTGACACATGTTCTGGTGTGCAAATCATATAGTTAAATAACCATCCAACTTTAATTTTTTTTATTGGATTTCTAAGTAAGGCACCTGTCAAGATCTCCTTCCTCCTTATATGATTTTCCATAGGGACCAGTCTTAAGGATCTTTCCCCCCTTGTATCACCAATTCATCATTGGGTACAAAGAGACAATAAGCTGTTAGTTTCTGTGCCTTATGCCTCAAAACATGATTGAGGATGACAAGGAACTCGAAAACATATGATTTTGTGGAACAATATGTTTATCCTTTGTTTTATTCTTTACGTAATAGAGCCCGTATGTTGAGGCCCCACATTTTACTGGTGCTCCGCATAACTACAACTTCCCAATGCCCACTGCACCTCCTGGAGCACAGAGGCAAGTGTGATGAGCTCAGCAGTTAACGGGAGGAAAAGCCAGATGTATCATGTATTATTCAACTCTTCTGTATGATTAGTAAAGTATTGGGAGTTGCAGTATTGCTTCCATATCTTGTCTTCTTACATGACACATACATCATCATAGTTCCTATGTTTATGTAAAAGCAGTGGTTATTATTTTGTATGTGGGTGGGATTAGAGGTTGTGTGCATCTTTGTATGTGTTTTGGATGTTTGTTTTTCTGTTTTAGGAACAGCAGCAGCAGCAGCACCGTGGGCATTTATATGTTGGAGGAGTTGCTCCCTGAAGCTGCTAAATTGTTTTCAGTAGGCGAGGTTGTAAATATGTTTTGATAAAACCATACATAGTTCATGATTTTGTTATTCCTTTTGTAATTCTCGCATAAATTAAGTTTCCAGAGCTATTTGCTGTTGGTGTTTTTCTTTGGGGTTGTTAATGCTGGTGATTTTCGTTTCTGAGCTTCCTGGTTTTAGATCTTCCACCGTGTTTAAATGGAGAGGAATGCGTGCGGAGAGGAGGGAAATGGGAAATTCACCTGCTTTGTGAGTATTTGTTGGATTCTGCCAGTGCCGTGCAATATCATGATATTGCACGGGGTTGTGCTGAATGCCAACCGTTGGGAATCCTTAATTGTAGAAGGCTGCAGCCGACTTGTGAAGAGCGATTGGGAGTGGAGGGCAACGTTTGTGCGGTCGCACTTGCATAAACCGTGGAGACACATTCCTGTGCGAATCTTTGAAGACATGCCCATTGCAACTAGTAACCTCGTTTATGGCGATCAAATTGGCGTAACACTCCCCCGTCATGTTAGAGGGGAGTGATTTTTTACTTCTTGTTGTGCTGTTGTTTTTCATTTTTTCCTTACAATATCACCAAAAAGGGAAAAAAGAAAAAGAGAGAAAGAATATACAATGCAATATGCCAAAAAAGATTGGACCGCTTGCACAAATACATTACTTTATTGGAGGATGGATAAAAAAAAAAGATTTAACTTTTCTCTATAAGGATTATCATATTTTGATCTCCTAATGAATCACAAGACAGAGTTGATAGTGATGATGGCAACTGAGTCGGGTATCTGAGTTTCAGTAATGAAACCCCACAAATTTAACCCAAATCCAACTTACACGCAATGTCTTGCTCCGAAATCAATTCATAGACCCAACACATCCCGAAGTTGTGATACGATTAGTAGCCAAAACCGGGCCCCTTTCCACTTAAAAAAAAAGTAGTGGAAAGATAATTATTTTATCACTTTCCACTTAAGAAAAAAGGGAGCGGAGAGATCACTTTTTACCATGATATCACTCTTTATCATAACTATTACTTTGTTTAATGAATATCTATAGTTTAACTTTTTACCATTTTGCCTTAGCCAACTTTTGCTTCAAAAGTCTCTGCTAATTGGTCGGGGTTGGGAACCCCGACTAATTTATCCTGTATATTTTTAGGGGCGTGCAAAATAGTCGGGGTTGGCAATCCCGACTATTAAGAAGCAAGATTAAAAAAACCGATCCATTTCGTGGCCACGAAATGTGTCGGTTTCTGTAAATAAAATAAGAGTGAGTCGGTTTTTTAAAATAAAAGTTAGAATGTGTTTAAATGGAAAATTTCTTCTCTAACTGTGCTGCAGAAAGCGGGTCGGGTTACCGGGTAACGGGATTAAGGGGCAGGGCCGTGCTGTCTTCGGGCGTAAGCTGGTCGGGATACAGAAAACAGGGGCCCTCCTTTCTTCCCCGGCTTAAAATAAATAAATCGAAGGAAATCTGGGCCCGAAGCAGAAAAAAGCCCCAACGAGACGCTGCAAAATCCAGCTCCTCTCCACAACACACGAAAGCCTCGATATTTCGTTCTAGCATCCTCCAGCAGCGCTCACGGTATTTTAAACCTCTAATGATCTGCTTTGCTTCGGCGCTACAGCAAACGCAGCGGCGGCGGCAGGCCGACGACCAGCAACCGCCAGCTCCGCCGACGATTTCGCCAGCCGCCACGTAGCGGCCAACCTCCGACGGACGGAGGTAGGACCGTCGAATCACCGGCTTCCAGAGCCGCTTCGTCCGTCCACAGCAGCACCGCCAACTCCGCCGAGGCCTGCACCACCATCGAACGCTCCGGCCAAGAGTACTTCGACGCCGTCAAGACCAACTCCTGCAACGGAGATCACGATCCCAGATCCTCCTCCACCGCCACCAGTCCGACCCCAGCCTCCGTCCGCACCGGTCCTCGACCCCGATTCCCTCCTCGATGCCGAGAAGCCTACTCCTCCGTCGCACCCCCCCTCACGCCGCCACGTCTCCGCTCTACCTCGACTCCACCGAGTCCGCCCTCCGCCCTCTTCCTCTCCTCCGCCGCTCCCTCGACCTCGCCGCCTCCATGCATACTCCCCACCGTCGCTGACGCTCCTAGGTCTCGTCCGCCCGCCGAACGGCGCCCCGCGCCCTGCTCCGTCCCAGCGCGACCTCGGCCCTCGACG